CTTTTTGGACTTTAAAAACAAAATATTTGCAATAGGCATGCTTTAGTGATATTTTGACAGTCAGATATGATGTTTGTGAAGCTTTAACACAAATTATTCACTCAAATATTATATAGCAAATAATGTAAAAACAATCTCGTCTCTAGAGAAGAGGGATCATTGTACTCGGATTTCTCTTTACATCTTAATTGGAACAATTTCACTTTACGATGTACATTTCTTAAAGAAAATAAACAAAACCATATGTTGACAGACAGACAGTTCCTCTGCCAAAAGCCATATTGACGGTAAAGAAGCTCTGCTCTCTGACCACAGCTCTGTATATTCATAAATATTTTGTTTGTCTTTTGTTGTAGAAAAGCCTGAACCCAATGTTCTCCTGTGAGAGGGAAACACGCCACTGTTACTCCATTCATACGTTTGTCTCTACATTTGACCATCTGCGAGACAAAAACCTAGGATTCAACTCTCGCCGGTTGCCAAGTTGTCTTCACTGCTCGTTTGCAGCTTCTCCACATGAAAGGTTTGACCTGGTTACCCTGAGATATGATCCCAGCTTTTCAGCTCTGTGACGAAACTCTTTTCTTCCCTTGTCTTTCCCCCTTTTGCTTCAAATGATGCAGACACTGCTGGGCTTTTATATGGCAGTTGGTGAGTTCCTGTTGGCGTGGTATGTAGCCAGCTGTTAGCTCTTACCCACTGGTCGTAGGATTGAGGTATTTTCTCCTAGTGGTTAGCCCTTATTATTTGCGTTAGCTTGCTACATTGTATTGTTATGGTCTTGTTGTTAGCTTTTTACCCGTAGCAAAGATTAAAGTAAAGGATGTTGTAACCTCTTTTTAGCATTGGTTTGAATACATGTAGTATTTGTTATTATTAGCAATGTTTTCATGTTGTTTTACAACATAGACGAAATGTCGGTGTCTCTACAGTTGTTGTGACAATGTTGGCTTTTTATGGATGAAACAGTCGTATAAGGAGCTGCATGCTCGGTGCCTGGATGTTACAGTAACACGAGGAAATTTGTGTGCATGCGTGCGTGGGTGTGTAGACGAGTGTGCATGCGTCGTTTCATGGATGTTACAGTCTTATGAGATCATTCCATCGCTTTCTCCTTTTGATGTTACAGTACTCTAACATCTGGTGCGGTGCATTGCGATATGCCGTCTTCTTCTTGGACATTGCCGTTTTACAAGGACATCCTGGAGCTTTTATGGACATTACAGTGTTAAGGAAGATATTATGTTGTGTTGTATTTAGGGTTAGGGTTATTTAGGGTTATTATCCTAATATAGAAGATATTAGGATGTCCATGCCGGTGGAACCATGGCCTGTGGAACCATGTTTAAGACTTTGGAACCACCAAACTGTTGTCAATGAACTGAATTTTTCCCATTCGTGCCAGATTTATACTGCA